TTTTTATAAAATAGTTAAAATTTTAGCAAGGTTTGAAATACCGCTTTCGAAAAGTGGAGTGGAGGGAATTTGGAAGGCTCCAATTAAGTAAGAGCAACTATCAGAACCTTTTTCGAAAAAAAAAAAATTATTTGATACCGTGCACGAAATATCCTGACTACAAGAAGGAGCATCTTTAAAATTAGTAAATCAGGGTTTTTGTAACGTATCAGGGCTAGTAGTTATAAAAAGATTTAGATCTTTTCGACGTATTTTCCAAATTGCCTTCAATTAAGATGTTGTTGGAATAAAAATTACGATCAAGATCGCAGAATGTTTTATCTTTAAAAGTTGGTTTATTCTGAAAACAAACCTCTTGCTAAGGTATCAAATTATTCGTAATTGTTTTTATAATACAATACATGCTTAAACAATTTTTTAAATGAAATGCTTCAAAAACTGTACGCGATAAGCCGAAATTTTTTGAAAAATAAATTGGTAAATAAGTAGAGTTAAACACTTTTCGTTACTTGTCATTTAGCTATTTTTTAAAGCACACTTTAGTTAACAACTATGTACATATGAAGTGTACACTTAAGTACTAATTGCACTTAAAATGTCAAACCAGTATATGGTGTGCTTCAAACGTTATGACATAATTAATTTTTCATCTCTTAAAAATTACACAAAAATAGCGTTGTAAAACTCACTTATTTTTAATATGTTTTTGAATCAAAATATCTATAACTCAAAAGTTATGCAACAAATTGATTAAACTTTTTTTGAGGCTTCAAGTATACGTCTATGAAATAAATCCAAAATCAACCAGCTTGATATAGTTGGTATGTTCAGAAGGCGCAGCAGTTGAGCGCAACCGTTGCTAAAAAAATCAGTGATAGTAATGCGTCTTCTGAACGGCTTGATATATTATCTGTCAAATTCAAAACACACAACATGTTGTCTCAAATGAGCAGAAAAATATTACGATCATCTAACACGCATCTGTTCAGTTGATCAGAAATACAAAACAACGCGTTCAGAAGGTGCAATTCCAACAGTTACTGAGCTGTTGCGCCTTCTGAACGTGCCCAATAATAGATTGGCACTTACACATATCGTCGTTTAAAGTGCAAAACCGCGTATCAACAAAATGCAAAGCTGCGTTATCTCACATACATTGTTTTCTAGATAGTAAAAACACTCATATTTCAAAATAGTTCTTTTTTTTATAAAACAATCGCATTTCTGGCTAGTATATTTCAGGACGAATGGATAAGGCTTAAGCCAAGAGCTTGTGTGAGCAAATCCAATTTTTGACAGGCAATGTCAGTTACGCGGTTATGCAGAACGACAATTCGCGGTGTTGTACCTTAAACGACGATATGACGACATCTATCTTGATTCCTTTAGGCGTCACAACAACCCGCCGTCGGGTATAAAAGAAAAAAATAACCCAAACATTAGGATGTCAATAATTGTAAAAAACGAACTTTAACATGCGTTCAAATGAATGGAGCAGTATTCAGGGTTCCCAATTATCCTTAGCTATGAAGTGCCATATTGAGGATAAAAAAGTGCCAAAATGTGCCAAAAAAGGTGCCTTTATTTTTAATTCTTCCCATTTAGCATTAAAAATAGAAACCTTCCTAAAACAAAAGTCCAATGCCAAAATAAGATAAACCAGCTGTATAGACTATAGAAATTAAAGAATTTTAGTTGAGAAAAAGAATGCCAGAACAGCGAATTAAGCTGATGCCAGATAAAACTCTGTAGCTTTGCGTGATATTTATAACTTTGCCAGCAAAGCGCCAGACGCAAAAGGTATGCCACAATGAACGCCAAGAAAACAATTTTGTACCGCTTTTTTACTCATCAAAGTTGCTGTGGATTTTAATTATTTTGCTTTAAAATTATCAGCAATGTAATTAAGTTTTATGTTTCTGCATGAAAACCCTAATTTGGACGAAACAAAATACATAAATATTAAACCGGCGACACATCGATGGAAACGTTATTGAAAATCAACAATAATTTACAAAAAGTAGAAGTTATAGCTGCTATTTCGAAGATCCCCACATCTTCTCAGTGACCGCGGTTGAAGAAATCTGTGGTGATCTCCCAAATAGCAGCTATAACTTCTTACCTTTGTAAATTATTGTTGCTTTTGCACAACATTTTTGATAAAAAACGGCCCCAAGCTCAATAAAATTGTTGGATTCATTGTGAACGCCAATAGCCTAGCCGTTAAAACAGAACCAAACACCCTTGATTTTAACAAGATCAGGCCTAGGATCTTTAGGACCGAACGACCTTACGATGGTATACATTTTGATTCTAATAATATAAAGGCTATAGTAAGGGTAATAAAATACAGGAAAAAACATTCATAATTATTGAAGTATTCAACATTGCTTTAAATTTAACTAAAAATTAACAAATCGCAAAACATCGGACACCATCGATATATCGATGTTTCTCTGGCGATGTATTTTAGCCCCGATGTTCTTTTCTCCGATGCATCGAAACATCGATGCATCCCTAAGCGAATCTGTCACGTAAAGCGAAGCAAAAGTTTTATGTGGCATCAGCTTTAGGCGGTTTTGCAACTGGTCGATAGGCGGTTTTGCAAAAACATCGACGATATGTACATATGTATGTATGTATGCATAATACGCGAAAGCTTTTTGGCTAGAGCTTCTTATTTTTTCAAAAGGAGTTGCCACGTGATAAAAAAATTAAATTCAAATTATTTTTAAGCTAAATCAATTATTACACTATGAGTATCGATCGAAATGGTTTTGAAAAGACTTTATTTCTTAATTACACATATGTAGGAGGGTTGCCACCAGTTCCAAAAAGCAAGTTCGACTTAAATAAAGGCACAAAATTGAAATGTATATCCTGATATGGATGTCAGACGAAGGAGGCTGTGGTTTAAAAGTATTTTGAATAGGGTTGCCACCTGTTTCAAAATTATAAATAAAGTATGCATGAGTTAAATTAAATATAAAAATATTTCGAAGGTGGCAAGATATCCTTAGTTTAAATATTTAGGTTATTAAAGAGGGTTGCCACCTGGTCAAAACGTAAACTCAAATTATTTAATAAGTTAAAGCAATTATTAAAAATGTGGGTATCAAATGAAATGGGTTTAGAAAGTCTTCATTTTTGAACTCTAGTTAGGAGCGCTGTCGCTTATTAAAAAAATCAAATTTAACTTAATTCATCAGGCACATGAAATATTTATGTAGGTATCACAATATCAGACGCTAGAGATTTGTTTATTTCTTAACTATATTTAGGAGAGTTGCCAGCTGTTTCAGAAGTCTTAGCTAACTTATGCACAAATCCGAAGAGGAAGAAAAAGAATATTAATATGGGGGCCTAGGCTAATACAAAGCACGTAGATAACAAGAAGGGGCAACTCGTTATAATTGTAGCGAAAGTGAGTAACAGGGACGTGCCTTCTCTTTTGCTCTAGTACCTTTGTTAATTGGATGAAAAGAGAAGGCACGCCCCTGTTACTCACTTTCGCTATAATTATAACGAGTTGTCCCATCTTGTAATCTACGTTCTTTGGCTAATATAAAAAGTTCTTTGATACGTTCTTTGATAATATCACGTATTCTACGTTTAAGTTTAGCAGCTGTGACTCCGACGTAGCCTGCAGGTCAAGACGAAGGCGCTGTACTTTTTTTTTTTTTAGCAACTTTATACTTGCACTTTAATAAATATCGTCGTTTAAAGTACAAAACCGCGTATCGTCGTTCTGAAAACCTCGTAACTGACATTTGTGCCAAAAAATATATTTGCTCACCGGAAGTTCTTGGCATCAAGCCCTTATCCATTTAGACTTAAATATCGAAACTTAGATATAAGAAGAAGAGATAATTAGGGATAAAAGAGAAAACCGTTTCGAAATAGGACTAGCTTTACTCTCTCCCATAAAATCTTGGCATCACATACGAGGCGTACCAAAAATATTTCTAAAAGTTCTGTTTAAAAACTTTGAAATTTAGATTAAACATTTTCGAATCTTCCCAATTTTTGTACAAGGTTTGAAATTTGGACTAACATGGTTTTTGTTAGATAGTGAGCTATACTTTTATAAAAAAAAAAATAACAAAACAAGGGAAAAATAGCCAAACCTTTTTAAAATGTCGGGAGCCTATTCATTCATCCGCCACAGAATCCACAACGCTTTGCATTAAATTAACTGTCAATTTAACACAAGAGAACACTCCAGTTAACTTATTTTCCGCTATATGAGAAAAGTGTGAAAATGTTACGTTTTGCTCTGAAACAAAGTTTTCGAAAATCGTTCAAAACAGCTTAATGCCGCTGTTCGCCGAAACAAAAATGGAAAAAGATTTTGGCGCGGCAAACTTTAAAGCTATTTTTGATAGACTTTTTTATGCTGATTGCGAATCCGTAAGTAAGAAAGTTTCCATCAGCTCCAGATTTTGAGAAAACCGAGGTGAACTTGTCAAAAAATCGCGTTTTCTTGCAATATTTGAGAAGCTCTACCAAAAAGCAAAGGGTAATAGAATCTGCCACTTAGGCTCAAAATATAGCTAGAACTCTCGTCTTCTATCTCTGAAAATATCATCCCTACGCCTTGATCTGATTGTCACTTAAACGTCATTTATTCAACAGCAAAAACTGGTTTTGGCGAAGTTTGAGTACCTAATGCAATTAAACAAAAGGTGATAGAACCTTTAACTTTGGCTTATATTAAGGCTTGAACTTTCGACTACAATCCCTGGAAATTTAACCCCTGCCATTTGACCCTAAGGTCGTATATTCAACAGCAAACTGATTTTGGAATTTTTTTCAATAGCACAGCATTCCAGTATTTTTTTACTGTTCAATAAATGACTATAAGCGACCATCGGGTCTAGGTGTAGGGCTAGTACTTTCAGGGACACTAATCGAAAGTTCTTGTAATTTAAGCCTAAGAAGGTTTTATCACCTCTTGTCTCTTTGCTAGAACTTTCCAAACATTGCATTTAAACAGAAAATTTAAATTATCGCGTTTTGTTGTGGGAATCCACATATTTTTGGGTGTTTAGTTAACATTATTTTTATTTATTTTTTTATGCACTTAATTAAACTTTTTTAATACACAATAATTTAGTATAACTAATATCGGCTAGAACTAATAACAAGTTGTTCATTTCATGATTTATTTATTTGTTTAATTTTAACTATTTTGGTAAATAGAGTAAACAAAAACTTAGTTATTATAGTGAAATCATCTTGTACAACGAGACAAAGTATACACCCCTATTGCGAGTTTCGACTAGTAATAGATAAACGACTATTATTCGATTTTCGATTATCCATGGTATTTTCAATGTCGTTTCCTCGTTCAATAAGTGAGTCTTAATTATATTTAGTCGCTCATCCTTCTACAAACAAAAAGTTATAACTGAACGGGAAATCCACATTCACAATACCATGGAAAGCGCTAATCGAATAATAGTCGTTTATCTACTAATAGCCGAAACTCGCAATAGGGGTGATATATAAATAAACTGAATAACAACATTGAAAAAAGCGACATCGGCAAAGAAAGGTACAACTGCAGCTAAGCAAAGTTGGTTTTTCTAACGTTTGTTTAACATTTATTGCAAATCACAGCAATAATTTTTTTGACTGTTTCTATATTCAATTTCATTTTATAAATCTTTACACTAAAATCTCTCCTGTCTAGAATTCTTCTTTTCCAGCGCAAAATTGTCTAAAAATATTTTTTCTTTAAATTTATGCAGCAAGATGTCTCAATATTTATTATGTTAATTTCGCGATCTGGATGCAGCGTGCTAGCATATTTGTTACAAAAGTATTGCCTTATAGCGTAGTAAAGTAAATTTTCTTCTTTGATTTTGCGAATGCTGATGCACATACATAATTACAAAATGTGCAAATGCATGTTTGGTGATTTATCTTCTTCACATCTGTGGTATTGCAAAAGGAACTTTTAATAATTTTCCCATATTTGCCTTTGTTGCATCTTTCCATTTATTTTAAATTCGCTTAGCGATCATTACGCCATCTTTTTCCTAGGTATGTATAATATAGTGTCTATAAGGCCTTCTCAAACGTAAAACTCCACATACTATCTTCTCAGATCCACTACTTCTATCTTCCTCTGGCTATCGAGTTGAATGTGCTGCGCTTCCTGTTAATGGTGAAGAATGAATATAAAGTTGCGCCAGATTTACTCATTAATAAAGCTTTTATTACCATAAATAAGCGTGGTTCATTAGGATGTGGATGAAAACCAGTTTGCCTGCATTGTGCAATATAGTCTAAACCATAGTTCGGTGTGAGGATGAAGAAACCAGTACTGTAATAGAAAATTGTGAGATTTTGGAAAATAGCATTAATCAAATGTGCCGATTAGAGTTGACTTACGTTTTATATTTAGGCGCACAAACAATTGCAATTGCTTCGGGCATCATCATTTGATACGAACAATGTGTATGCAAATCCACTGATGAGAGGAATGCTGTTTGGCTGGGGTGAGTCTACAAGTGAAAAATAAAATCCATTAAGAATCCTGAATATATGAATAAATAATATTTAACGATTAGCGGTAGATAAAAACATAGCCCGGACTACGATACCGAACCGACACTTTTATTTATGGGGAGCGACTGCATTGCTTTCTTTCCAAAACTATGATCAACGTTTATTTCCAGCGATTCGAGAAATAAATATTGTGCACATGACAAGAGAGCAACTAACCAATCCCAGATATGTATCGATGCTAATTTATTCTCTGTATTCTCTGAATTTTATAAATAATAAAAGGAAGCAACGACCTTAATGTAAGTGTCAAAGTCCAGATCCATTGTACACGCAATATTTAAGATGAAAAATTTAGGATGACTATAAATTATTACATTACGGCTCGAAAGACACGATAGTTAATTATTTTACAAGTAATTTTTAACAAAAACAAAAACGACTTTAAAAAAATATATATATATATTTCATGATCCAATGATCGGATCTAAACCAGATTAGTATGGGACCACCTCTGAGACACTACCTTTCCGACGCAAAAAGAATTATCGAAATCGGTTGACGTGGTCCAAAGTTATGCCGTCGGTTAAAAATGGTAAGCGATTTATCTATTTGCAATAAAATGAAACAGCCGAGTATGTGAAAAATTATTGAATTATTTTGCCGAAATGTTAAATATCAACATTTAATACTTCTCCTTACATGAATCCAACCGAGTGTAATGAGATTTTGCTGGTCTTGCACGTCGAAAATCTCCTCCTCATGCATGGTATTGCAACTGTCAGGTGTGCCCTGTTGCTTTGGTATGATAATATGTGTTATAAATAAGTGATTTTGCGCCAAATGTCCTGCTAGGATACCACAAGTTTCGATATTCTTCGTAGTATTGCTTTGCGCCAGTTGCAAGAATACATCCATTGTGTTTCCAGGAATCATTACGGTGCGCAATGATCCCGCCAGTAGGGAGTCGGAGCGTTCGAATTGCGGCTTCTGACTACGATCAAAGCTGGGCGGTTTACTACAGCAGGAAAATATGACATTTGTATATAAAACATTTCAAGTGAATAAACTAATGTTTGACACAAAAACAAAAAAAAAAGTAATTGAAAATTTGTATTTGCCTACAAGCAAACAAACCTTATTGATTTTGCGCCTTCTTTGTCCGCGTCTCCCGGCAAGAGCAGTCCTGAGCTGGGCAAGTTTGAACGATTTGCGCCAGTTGGGAAATCATTGGGATAAACAACTTTATCCAAAAGTCCAACATCCGGTGCACTGGGCTGCATACTTGGATCTATTTGAACATGAAGATTAGTTGGTATATAGGAACCTACGCCTCTTCCACTTCCGCCCTCAGTTACGGCTGCTCGTTTTTTACGTTCCCGCTCCAATTCTCGTGCTTTTTCGGCCTCCTTGTTTGCAAGAAACTGTTCATACTCCTTTTGGTATCGGTCAAGCAGTTTGGCGCGCAATTTCTCAGTGGTCGGCATGATTTCATCTTTAATCCGTTTATTAATTTCTTTTACCTCAGACTTTATTTTCGGATATTCTGGATGTGACCGAAGTTTCTCGATAAATAGCGTCATATACTTCATGTAGAGAATAAAGGCGTTTTCGTGATTTCCCTCAGCGAGATAAACATTTGCCATGCGAAGCATTTCAGTGCCCGAGCGATAGTATCTGCGGGAATGGCGGTGCATAATATCAGTATATGTATACATACATACAGATATATGTAATTATAGTTACAAACTTCAATGACATATAGTAGTTAATTTTAAAACATACATAGTTTTTTAGAAACACCCTACCAAAATCCTCAAAATATATGCCATATTTTCAAATTGAGTCCTTGTATTAACTCTCCCGCCCGCATAACTTACTTTTGCTAACTGTATAAGAATGCAATGGAAGGAAAAAGTACAACAAAACAATAATACAAGCATGCAGCCAGAAGGACACGTACATTATTTACGATATTCAAGGACATGTCGAAACACTTCCGAACGTGGTTACCTATACTATTTTATTAAATCTATTACGTATGGAGCGCTTAATACGGGTTAGTAAATATTCTCAAATGTCCTACCCTTACTAAAATGCATGGCTCAAACTGACTCACCGTGTAACTGGCACATTGGCGTCCACTTCAATTATATTTCCGTAATTGGATAGGAAGCGAATCCGCTCATGAGGCTCCACAATCGACATTCCCATATTGTTGACCGCTTTCGCCATTGTCGTTGCCTTTTTATGCTATCAGTTGTAACATTAACCACTGCTGCATCAAACAATTTTTACAATTCCTATAGTTTTCCACGACTTTCGCAATTGAAAACCTCCAAACATTTATCACTACTGTCAACAACGCAACTCAGCTGATCGGACAATGTTGCACAACCCAGTGTTGTGTATCGCCCTTTTATTTGAAGGTAATTGGGTAATTTCGA